TCACAAGTCCGCATCTTGTACAGCAATTAACCACTAAGAAGAATATATGCAGTGTATTATTTGTTGAAACTGTACTTCCGATTTGATTTAAAACTGTCTCATTGCTATCTGTTTATCAATAAAATTTTGGAAAAAAAAAAAAAAGAAACAGGAGGGGAGGAAAATGAGGAGCACCAAGAAGAGAAAACAGGAGACTGGGGAAATAGCCTAGTGGCTCAGTGCTGGCCTGGCAAGCACAAGGTCAGAGAGAGAGAGGGAGAAATTGTTTTCTACTTTAAGTCTTTTGACTTGCTCTTTGCCCTTGAGAGGTTACTGCCAACTTTTCAGAGTGTTATAATAACGGATACTCACTGGGTTGGCCTTTTACAAAAAACAGCAACAAAAACCAAACATACTGCTTTTCACACATACCTCATATTTCATGGTAAAAAATCCATCTCCTCCAATGCCCTCAAGTGCAAAGGCTTGTACAATTGGCCATTTCTCTACGACAAACATATCAAATATCTGCAAGTGACCTAGAAGAATCAAATACAACAACACTATCAAATACCACTGTTGGATATAACAGTCTAAACCTGATCTAATGTGGTTAGATGGGCATCATTTCTCACCAAGGTCTCATCCAGCAAAATAAATTTCAAAAAGATAAGATATTGAAACTAGAAATAAAATATGAAAGCCAAGAAAAATTCAAGCCATAAACAAGTTAATTGAGTAACTCAGATTTCTCTATAGTGTGTTTTCACATTTTGGTTTCCTAAGTAAGTAATTAAGTAAAAAATAAGTAAATAGCAGTCTGTTACAACTGACTTGCATCATTTACTGAGTATAATTATTAACAGACTCAAGTTGGCTCCTTTCCCTTAAGAAACATAGCCAACCAACTTCCTCAAGGGAAAACTACCAAAGCAAAAATGCTCCTTTCTTGTAATGGTAGCTTCAATGTGCAAGGCTAAACTTGAATTTTTTCCTATGTTCCACACATGATTTTGAACCACACCATCAGTATATTTTTAAATGGCCATCCAAATTACTAGTTTTATTACCAAGTTAAAATGGCACAAGCCTGTAATCCCAGCTTTTGGGAGGTTGAGGCAGGAGGATCACCTTGAGTTTGAGGCCAGCCCAGGTTACAAAGTGAGTTCAAGGCCAGCCTGAGTTGCATAGTGAAAGAAACAAACAGTGTCTCAAAAAAAAAGTATCTAAAAAAAGTGTCTCAAACACACACACACACACACACACACACACACACGTTTTATTATCAAGAGGTCCCACATCTATATTCTTACTCTCTACATTAATGATATAGTCTACATGGCAACTGTGTTAAGTCTCATCAATTTTTCTACCACACCATAGGTGGCTTGCTATTTGCTGTGCAAACTCCACAATTATGAATAGCTTATGAAGGAAAGTTCCCAAATGTTACCCTGCTTGATCCTCCGCCTCAGCAAGCATGAATCATGGGGGTTTCCTTGAATGCCTCCAAGAAAAGAAGCAGGGACACTGGAGTCACACATCACCATGCAAGGCTCTGAAATGCCTTGCTGTCACATACTCACCCTGGGAACTGTAAGGAATGCCAATTTTACTACAGTCTCTAACCATATCCACAAAGCTGGAAATTTTAAACTCTTCTGCAGCTTCTTCATCTTCATACTAAAGAGAGAAATTGAAAGTAAAACAGGCTCTGATTGTATATCATATAATATTACATATTTTCTCTGCATGTCACCAGGGTTGTCCTAAACAGCATTTAGAGGTACTGTTTCTAGAGCCAATCTATTCTACTTTTTAAAAACAAATAAACAAACAAAAAACAAAAACAAACAAAGAACACGGCCTCATTAGTTTAGGCTGCCCCTGAACTCACTATGGAGCCCAGGCTGGCCTCAAACTTGTGGTAATCCTCCTGCTTCAAGCTTCTTGAGTGATGGGATTACAAGTATGTACCACCACACCCGGCTATTATATTTACTTGTTAGAAATACTCGTTACTAAGCAAATAACCACTAGGAAGAGAGTATGCAATGTGTTAATTATTGAAACTGTCCTACCAATTTGATTTGAAACTGTCTCATTGCTATTTGTTTCTCAATAGAATTATGGGGGGGGGGAAGAAATACTTGTTACTCCTTTCTCTCAGATCATACAAAAAAATCAACTCAAAATGGATCAGGAAACCTAAACACAGGAGATCGAACTTGACTCCTCAAATCTCCCAAATTCTCAACATGGAAAGAAAAGTTTTTTAATAATACTGGATCGTAACTTCCACGAAATCCTAAATCTTAAATTCCAGTTTGATTTCCAGCTAAACTCTTCGAAGGGACCCAAAGGGAAATAGAAACAGATACTAAGAAACCCAAAGACAGGAATGTCACAAAGCTTAAAAAATTCTCCAAGCGCAGGCCCTGGCATCAATCCTGGGGAGACTGGGCTCAGGCTCAGGGCAGGAAGATAGGTTCACAAACCTACTAAATTTCAATCTGAACTCCCCACCCCCAGTCTCCCTGAGGCAAATACTTTATCTGAAAGGTAGCTTCCATACTGAAATGTATAACCTCTTACAAGAACTACTTTTACATAAGTAACCACACTCTGAAATTTGATTTCTTTTTTTAAAATTTTATTTATTTATGTGTGTGTGTGTGTGTGTGTGTGTGGCCAGCTCAGCCCACCACGGGGCGGGGCTGGCTGGCACGTGGTGCTGGGGGATCAAACCGCGGTCCCTGTGCTTTGCTAAGCTTGTTCTAAGTAGGTGCTTTAGACCACTGAGCCATCTCACCAGCCCCTGAAATTTGATTTCTTTAAGAGCCTCTTTTTATAAATCAGTTTTTCTTATAGAAACGCTTATTTTTTCTTTTGTCCTCACCTCGTTTTCAGTCATGCAGTAGAAATGCAGATTTCTCCAATGTGCCACATAAGGTAAGAGATAGCGATAGTTGACAGGATTACAGTACAGGTGGACACTATCTGATTTAATCAACATAATTACATCTGTAAGAAAACAAAGTCAAAAGGCAAGATTGTCAAAGGCTTTTTCCTGTAGACATTTCCTGCCCAAGAAATTAGTGAAACTACTGAAGGGTAGGGAGATAGCTCAATGGTAGGGCACTTGCTTACCATGTGCAAGAGACTGGATTTAATTCATCCTTAGCATTGATCTCATGCACATGTCACACACACACACACACACACACACACACACACACCCATCTCCCCAATACTGAAACTACTTCATAATCAAGGTAACAAAACTTTAAACTGAAAATTATTTAATCAAACAATGTGCTTTCTAAAACTTTTTTTAATCAATTATTTATTTGGTACAGGGTCTTGCTACACAGCTTAGACACGTGAATCTGCTGTCTCAGCCTCCCCAGTACTGGGATTACAGGTGTATACCACTATAACTGGTTTTGGTGGCCAGCTAGGCATGGGGCCCGCAAGGCATACAGTACTGGGGATCAAACCAGGTCCCTGGGCTTGCCAGGCAGGCGCTTAGACTACCGAGCTATCTCCCTGGCCCAGGCAAAGTGCTTTCAAGTAACTGCAGAACATTCAAGTGTTGACAGCAAGCATTTCCTAGTCTCCCTGACATGTTTCCACCACCATGACCCTCTGATTATGGTAATACAGGCACAAAACAAACAGGTCAAAAGAACAAGTTTCATCTACTGAAACACAGTGCTTTGCAAAGTCCAGCACAGTAAATCTGTGGTATCAAACACAGCAGTGTACTCATTGTTCAGACACTGTAAATACCAAATAGAAATCCCATGACTGAAAGCCACTAGGGTAGGAAAAGAGAGCATGTACTGTGACCAATGACTTCTTCAGCAGTGTCTAAAAGCTTGGGGCCACTGGCTCATGTGGCTTCAGGCAACTGTGGGCCTGGATACTGCATATCCACTTTGGGAAGGATTGTATATGGCAGTGAACTCTACACAGGAAAGTCCGGGAGGAAGGAAGCAGAAGCAAGTGGAAATAGCTTCTGTAAATAGACCAGCAGCTTGTAGATTCAAGGAACATTCATGGGTCAAGTAAATAATCCAAAGGGTACAAGAAAGCTTAACCAAAGAGACACAGAATGGGATGGGAATAAAATAGCCTGAAAAATGCAAACAAAATGCAAACAAAAAATGAAAGCAGCCATATTAAGAAAAGCAGAGTCTTCATTTCATGGGTCCTCTGACACCACAGCTACCACATCTTTAACAAGATTTAGGTAAAAGTCCCTGGAGAAGGCAGCTCTATGTAAGAAAGATACACAGGGAAAAGGAGCACCTAATATGATAGGTTTAGGGCAATTCCAACCCAGCCAGTATAGTGTATCAGGTGACACTTTATGAAGACACATTATGCATGTGCAAGGGACTACGCCCAGTGAATACTACTATAGCTGAGCACACAGCTGAGTGGCCTCTTGAACTGGCTTATTAAGTGGCTTCAATCCATACCTTGTAGCCCAGGACTCCAGGGAACATGTGGACTGTCTTAGTTACTTTTCTCTCATTGCTGGGACAAAATACCCAACACCAAAAAAAAAAAAAAAAAAAAAAAAAAAGGAGAGTGCCAAGGAGATGGCTCAGTGGAATAAGCACTTCCCTGGCAAGTGCAATGGCCAGAGTTCAATCCTCGGTTCCACAAAAAAAATAAAAAAATACTCAACACCCAAAATTAAGGAAGGAAAGGTTTGTTTAGCACATAGTTAGTGGAGGTTTCAATCCATACTTAGCTGGCTCCAGGGCAGAGTGGCACATGGCAGAGGGCAGCAGTTCGTGGTGGCAGAAAACAGCAAAACAGCAAGAGCAAACAGGAGGAGTAGAGGCAACAATGACAGAGGCAGAGAGCAAGTCTGCCTCCCTTATGTTGCATTCAGGCTCTGCCCCAGGCTGGGTATAGCACTCACACCCATAATCCCAACCTTGGATCATAAATTAATCACAAACTCTAGAACTGCACCCCAATGACTGCATGAGGCTTTTGGGGGACAAATAAACACAAATTGTAATGTGGACTCTTGAGAAAGTGCTACCTCGAAGGGTAGGAAGGGGTATGCCTCTCACCTCTCAGTACTGGGCTTCCTGGCTCAAGGGCCTGTCCTAAATCACTCAGAGAACTACCATTCTTGGGATCTCAATACACTCAATGTCATCATTATAAACACAAGTTTAACAGAGTACACAGTCTGGTAGAAGAAGAAACCACAAGAGACTATAGATAAATATGCAAATGATTTTTAAAGTTTCTTTCAAAAATAAGCCCCTCACATTGCCCTTTTTCCCTCATATAATTACAGATTGAAAAGAAGAAGTATATGTTTGACAGTTTCAGCTTACTAACTACTTGGGTTTAAAGATAAATTTATTAATTTGGAAGAAATGCTCATTTACTAAGTATCTATTATGCCATGTAACAGAATAAAGACAAACATAAAAAAGCACCTATCTAAGAATTTAAATTATTTCCTTATTTTCAGGACTGTGATGTCCTCAGCAATCTTGGCTGTAGGGAAATATATAGCCTGTACAAGCTGCCAAGATTAATTCTTTTTTTTTTCCAAGATTAATTCTTTTCAAACCAGCAGATGATGTATGGCATAAGGAAAGATTTTTAATGAAAATCTGAAAGAAAATCTGAATTTTAAAAAATTTAATGGAGGGCTAGAGAAATAGCTCAGCGGTCTAAGCGCCTGCCTGGCAAGCACACACCCCCAAGCTCGATCCCTGGTACTCTGCCTGGCAAGCACACACACCCAAGCTCGATCCCTGGTACCATATGCTGTGCTAGCCCCAGACCCCTGAGTGCATGTGCAAGCCCCAAAACTGGGTACTGGGGAGGGTGAGACAGGAGGATCACTATTAGTCCAAGCTGTGTAGTAAGACCCTGCACCAAATAAATAAATAAATAAATACTTAAAAAATTTAATGGAAGGAGTAATTTCAGTCGATTTGCTGTACTTCATAATAATAATAAAAAAAACTTTGATCAATTATAAGGATAAATACTAGGGCCAGTGAGATAGCTCAGTGGACTAAGCACCTGCAAGCGCAGGAACTAGGGTTCAATCCCTGGCACACATGCTGTGCTGCCCCTGCCCCTGGGTGTGCTCAGCTGTCCACTGAGACTGGGCGTGGTGGTGCACCTCTATAATCCCAGCATGGGGGAAGCTGAAAATAAGAGGATCACTATGAATCCAAGCTGCATAGTGAGACCCTGTACCACATAAGTTAAAAAAAAAAAAAAAAGCATAAATATTATTAGGACTCTAAATCAGAAGAATTTTCTGATATAGAAAAACTCAGGGTTTTTCAAATTCAATACTACTGACTGTATGGATCAGGTAATTCCTTGTCATTGAGGGCTGTCCTCTGCCTTGTGATGTTCAGCAGCATTCCTGGCTGCTACCCAGTAGATGCCAGTAGAACCCCTACCCTGTTGTGATAATAAAAAGACTTCAGACACTTATCCCAGGGAACAACGCTCACACTGGTCCAGCTAAGAACCACTATACTCAAACAAGATCATTTCTCAACAGATGTCTGCTTTCATGCTCCTTAAGCCACTTCACAAGAGCTGTTTGTCTCCTGTCCAGTTCTATTTGCCTATTTCTGTGTATTCTGACCCATCTGGCAGACAAGTCATGATGCTAAGTCTATGACATCAGAGATAGCTCCTGGAAAACAGCCCACAGCAGCACCAACACAGGCAAAAGTGTCTCAGAGTGGAGAAAAGGGGAATGTAAGCAGAAAGCCTGCATTGTAGTCAGAGGCATCTCTGCTGTGAATTAAAGTCACATAGAAAACAATTCCCAAAGACTGCCAAGACAAAGAGCCTTTGTCCCACAACTCAAGATCCACAGGCAGTCTTCCTGGTAGGCAGCCTGCAGGGCCGTCCTTGCATAACAACTGAAAGTGCTTTCACTGGACACCAACATATAATCTGAACCTCTAGCATATAGAGGTAGTGGGCAATTATGAGGAAAACCACTGTCTTGCCAAGAAGAGACAAAACCAAACACTGATGCATATTTTTTCCCCAAAGCTGATTTACCGGTAAATGTACTAAGGACACTACTTATTGCTGGTCTCTCATCCTGTGGGTGACCTATAGAAGTATATTAACAATCAATAAAAAAAGCATTATTTTTCTCTATTTCAAGGAAAATATTAGCCAGGCACAGGGGCACACACATACTGGAAGGCTTAGCCAGAAGTGTCACAAGTCTGAGTCCAGCATGGTCAACTCAGAGACTTAATGAGATCTTGCCTCTAAGGAAATAAATAAATGGAACTGGGGATATAGCTCAGTGTGAAGGCCTTAGGTTCAATCCATTGGGACTCCAGTCGATTTTAAATCTGATGTTATTCTACAAAATGATCATGACATAAAAATCCGAAGAAATAAACCATCCACTCCTCTATCACATAGTATATTGTATAGGCTTACCATCTAGAACCTCTTCAGAAAATCCTGTTTTCTCAAAATCACTGGTATTCTGATTGTATAAACCAAACAGAAGATAATTTGCCAGCTCTCTGCAGCCTTCATTATATCTGCTATCAATTCCTGTAAGACAAAGGTTCTCATCAGGTGCTTTATACTGTGGTGTACAAATGAGCCCAAATAATTTGTCTCAAAAACCTGATGGTCACTACGAAGACAACAATATGCAATGTATTAATTATTGTAATTGTCCTATTAACCTGTTTGAAATTGTCTCACTATTTCTTTCTCAATAAAATTAAAAAAAGAAAACTTGATGGTCAGAGCTGCATGTGGTGGTACACACTTGTAATGCCAGCACTGAGGCCAGGTAAGAGGATCACAAGTTAAGAAATCAGCCTGGGCTACACAGTGAATTCAAGGCCAGCTTGCACTGCATTGACAAACTGCATAAACAAACAAACAACAACAAAACCAAAACCTGATGGCTAAAGGCAGCAGCACAGACTAATTTTGTGCTAAGAAACTCTGTAAAAGAAACCATCTCAGCCAAGAGTTATCCTTCTTGGAGCCTAAGATCTATAAGGTTGAGAAAAGCAAGCAGCACAGATTATTGAGGCCATTAATTTCTGAAAAGCAATTCTAAAGACTAGATAGAACCAAAAAATAGTCTTAAGTCTTTCTATGGCTTTCTAATGATTTAAAATACTTGCAGTTAGGCTAATAATAGGAACCTGAAACATATTCACCTTTCAAAGAGATTTTTTTTTTTTAAAATCAAAACATGTGGTCAAGTAAAGGCAAATTAAAGTAGTTTGAAAAGAACTCAGTCCTGAAGAGAAGGACAAGTAGATGGAACCATGAACACATATCCTTTGACACATTATCAGGGCAAGGCCCAGCCAACACTGCTCTGGATGCTGTGTTTTCTAATGTTCCTCCCAAAGCTCACATTCTGATGCAGTGAGGATGATGTACTACCTGATCCTGGGTAGAGATACAGCTCGGGGCAAGAAGCATGTGTCAAGTGCAGGAAGTGGCTTTATTATGAGAGACTAAGAGGAAAGAGTGGGGACAGGAGCTTCAGGAATGATACTGGTGCCATATCTCACCTTTCAAAGACTTTCAAAGACATCATTTGAACTCATTAAAGCAGCAACAGCTATCAGGAGGATGAGAATGAAAGTGGGGGAGTATTAACTCTCTGTTTTTCATACAATGACACTACTGACAAGAATGCAAGCTGTCCCAGCCCCTGGGTTCCACCTTAAGAAAACTACTTACCTAAGATGCAAAGGATCCCGTCAGGCCGAGACTTGCTGCTCTGGGTCAAGATACTCTGAACCTGGCGGAGTCGGCTGCAGCTATGAAAAGAACAGAAAACAATTCCCTTACTGAGATCCTACAACAAGGTACAAGGAAGAAGAATGACTTTGTTAGTCCTTGTCTGGTGCTAGTATCAGAACTGTATAAGATGAGTTGGGAAGGATTCCCTTCTCTTCTATTTTCTGGAAAAGACTGCAGAATTGGCCCAAACTGCCTTATTTCTGTAGAGACTGGGTCTCACTATGTAGCCTGGGCTGCCCTCCAGTTTGAGGCAATCCTGTCCCACTCATCTGGCTTGACCTAATGAGTAACATTGGGATAGCCAATGGCTCTCAAGCTCAACAGAGGATGGAACCAAGGGTCCTCTCAGGGTCAATCATTCCACAGAAAAACTCCAAGAACTTCCAATGACATTTTTTGTTTGTTTTATGTCTCTCTGTTCGTCTGTCTCCGTCTGTCTTTCTGTCTGTCTGTCTCTCTGTCTGTCGGTCTGTCTGTCTATCTGTCTCTGTGTTGACTTGACTTGGGGACTGAACCTAGAGTTTTCACATTGAGCTCTTATACCTCCAGCTCTCTTAAATTTTGAGACAGAATTTTGCTAAACTGCCTGGACTGGACTTGAACTTGTGATCCTCCTGTCTTAGCCTCCCAAAGTGCTGGAATTATAGGCATGCACCTTTGCATCTGGCTCAAATTTGTAAAATTTTTTTTTTTTTTTTCAGAATCATGGATTGAACTCAGGCCCTTGCACTTGCCAGGCAAGCACTTATTCTACTGAGTTATCTCCCAGACCCTTGTAATGATTTTTAAATAAGAGGTTCCACACCACCTTGCCCTTACTATGCTTCTCACAAGTCTTATCAAAACAATGGGTCAAAAATAAAAAACTGGCCCAAGGACCTAAACAAAGTTCTTATTCATCCCTACAACTACCCTAGCAGAGTGCCAGCAGAGGATACTTGCTCCCATTTCTGTGCAGAACTATTATTCTTTTGGCCTTAGGGATATCCTCTTGCTCCACACAGTGTGAGGAGTACTTCCAGACTATATAATTTCTAAGAGTCCCATTCTCTCTACACCAGTCCCCTCTCCTTCGCATCAACTTCAAAGAGTTGCCCAATTTCCTGCCCAAGACCATCCTTTGATCCTCCTATCTGGTCTTCCTTTCACTTTCAGGCCAAAGATCCAGGCCTGCTATGTGTTCCCTAATAATCCTCACATTTAATCTTTTCCTTATAGTCAACACAGTCCTAGCCTTGCTACATTATTATTCAGACCTGCCACAAACCAACTATACTAACTGTCTCCTCTAAGACCATGACACTTCATTTCCATCTATTTTTTCTCCTACCTCTTTCTGAATCTGTTCCATTATACTGCTCCACACTCATCCAGATAAGACTATCTCTAGCTAAACAACATTACTTCCCTTCCCTAAGATCTTGGATTTCTTTTTCCCATTAGATTCTTTTTCAATTTCTCATGACTGAACTCATTTGCTCCATGACTTGGAGCCATTATCAACGTGATCCATCAAGACTTTGAAAATGTTCCAGAAGATACCAAAACTACACCAAAGAATTTAAAGAAACCTACCTAAAAACAAAATATTCACTATGAATATAAGTATAAATCCCTTAAAATATATTATCAAATGGATTTAAGCATACAGAAAGAATTATAGACCATGATCTAGTGGTGGTTATCCCAGGAATACCCAAATTCAATTTATTATTCATTTATCAATCAATGTAATCTATCACCACACAACCATAAAACTCATGCAGAAAAATCACCAAACGAAATTCAATACCTAATCACAACTGAAACACTCAGAAAATTAAAATTTGCTTTCTTCTATCTTATTTTTTAAAAATCAAAAAGCATCTAAGCATAAGGTGGAATTATAGATAATAGTGGAAAACACTGCTTTTCTTCTAAGATGAAGAAAGATGTTTTCTCATCACCCTTATTATTTAACATAATATCAGAAGTACTGGCCTAAAAGAGAAGGAAATGAGACATACAGACTGGAAAGGAAAAAATAAACCTTTTCCTATTTATGGATATGGCCTGCTTGATAGTCTATGTGGGAATATCAAGGAATCTAAAAGAAAATTGTAGGACTGAAAACATAACTTAGTAGTAGCTCACTTGCCTAGTATGTGTGAAGTGTTGGGTTTAATCTCCATTAAATTAAAAGCTATGTACAGGAAACCACAATTAAAAAATAACATCATTTATAATCTGCCTAGTCAGGTATGGCATTGCAGGGAACCCCTATAAACCCAGCACTCAGGAGACCAAGGAAAGAGGACTGCCATGAGTTCAAGGTTAGCCTGAACTACAAAGGGAGACCCTGTCTCAAAAAATGAAAACAACAACAACAACAAAAAAAATCAACCCAACTCTTCAAATATAAAATACACATTAGGTATAAATCTAATAAAACATGCATGCACTGCACATGCTAAAAATTATAAAACATCAGCAAAAGAAATTAAAGATTGAGAGACATAACTATTTATGGAACAGAAGACCCCGCATAGTACATATATCAATGCTCTAATTGATCCCCAATCTTAACATAATTTATATCAAAATTTGAGTTTTGTAGATGTAGAGAAGATTATTCTAAAATTTATATGGAAGGCAAAGGAACTAAAATACTTTAAAAAAAAATCATGCCATCTAAGAGAAAGTAATGAATAATGAATCACACTGGCTGAAAGACACATAGATCAATGGAGCAGAACTGATCAGCCAGGGGTGTTCCAGGACTGCAAGTGGTAAGCATGAGTTACTTATATAGAAATGTAGCCAGAAATAGACCCACACAAGTAAACCCAAATAATTTTTAACAGAAATGTAAAAGCAATTCAGTGGAGGAAGGATAATATTTTCAATTGTGGTGCTAGTCAAAAGCATAAACCCCAGCCTTATATAAAAATTAACTCAAAATAGATCATAAACTTAAACCTAAAAATGAAAAACTGTAAGACTTTTAGAAGAATATAGGAGAAAGTATTCGGGACATTTGGTGAAAAGTTCAGACTTGACACCAAAAAGTATGATCTATTTTTAAAAACTAGATCTATATTAAAAAAAACAGGTGGTACTGGCAATTGAACCAAGAGAGAACTGGTCTACATCTTCACTTGTTTCATTTTATTCAGAGACAAGATCTCATTAAATTGTCCACTCTGACTTTAAACTTGCACTCCACAGGCCTCAGCCTCACAAGAACAGCTGACATTACAGGCATGTGCCACTAGGCCCACCAAGTTCAACAAAATTTTACACTTTTGCTTTATAAAAGACTTTATTTTTTTTATTAATATATGTTTGTGATACATAATGAATACATTAATCATGGGGAGCTGGTACATGTACATACCACATTTTTATTTTCCCTTCCTTCCTTTCTCTATCCCTAGATTCCCTTTCCATCTGCAAAAAACCTACCTCCTGCTTCCTCTAATTTAGCTTTAATTTTGTTCTTTATGTATATATTTTGGGTTTCTCATATAAAAGAAGCCATAAACCAGACATGGTAGCACACACCTATAAATACCAGTACTCAGGATGCTGAGGCAAGAGGACTGCCTCAAATGTGAGGGCAACCTGGGCTACACTGCTGAAGAGTTCAAGCCCAGGGCCAGAGAGATAGCTCAGTGGTCTAAGCACCTGCCTGGCAAGTGCAAGGACCTGAGTTCAATCCCTGCCACCACATGCCATGCCGGTCCCACCCCAGGCGTGCCCCGGTGGCCACCAAGACCAAGCATGGTCGTAGACCTGTAATCCCAGAAGTGAGGAGGCTGAAAATAGGAGGATCACTATGAGTCCAAGCTGTGTAGCAAGACCCTGTACCAAATATGTAAAAATTTAAGGAAAGACTTTATAAGGAACAAAGAAAAACTATTTTGACATTAGATTTGACAATGGTTTTTTTTTATATTACTCAAAAGGACAGGACAAAAAACAAAAATTAACAAATTAACAAAATCTAAAGCTTCTATTCAGTAAAGAACATAAAACAGTGAAAAGGCAACAAGTAGAATGGGAAAAAGTATTCACAAGCAAGTATCTGATAAGGGGTAATTACCTAGAATATATAACGAATTCCTGTAACTAAGTAACAATAAAACTCTGGCTCAAAAAATGGGCTAAGGTAGGCCGGGGTATAGCTCAGTTGGTAGAGCACTTGTCTACCATATTCAAGGCCCTAGGTTTGACCCCCACAGAACTGCAAACAAACAAGATCAGACAAAGGATTTGAACGGATTATTTCTCCAAAGAAAGGCAAATAAATGAGATGTTCATGATTACTAATCAACAGGGAAAAGCAAAGCAAATCCACAACAAAATATCATCTTATACCATTCAGATGTGCTACTATTAAAACAAAATAAGCAGAAAATAGCAGTATCAGTGACTGGGAGACACTGGAACTCTTAAGCACTGTTGGTGACAATGTACAGCCACTATGGAAAACAGCAATGGTGGCTCAAAAATTAACTAAAGAATCACCACATGATGTAGCAATTCCCTTTCTGCATATAAGCCTGAAAAATTTAAAAGCAAGGGCTCAAAGTGCTATTTGTGAACCCCAGTTCATAGTAGTGCTATTCACTATAGCAAAGGGATGAAATCCACATTGACAGCTAACAAATGTAGAACAGTAACAAAGTAGAACATATCCCAACAGAATATTACTCTCCCTAAAAAGGCAATTCTGACACATGCAACAATGTGGATAAACCTTGAGCTAATATACTAAGCAAAATAAGCCAGCCACAGAAGGGCACATTCTGTGTGCACTGCATCTAGAATAGTGGACATCAGAACCATAGCTGTAAAGGGCCGGGGGTGAAGGGGTAGGGAGTTACTGCTTAATAAGCATAGAATTTCTGTTTTACAAGATGAGCTATGTGAATAAATGGTGGTGTGCATGTGTGTTGTGTCTTAGATAGGGTCTGGCTATGTACTTGTGGCTGACCTTGAACTCAACAATCCTCCTGCCTCAGCCTCCCAAGTG